CATGTGTGGTGTTAGGACAACTTTGAGAAGTCAGTTCTCTCACAGTGGGTCTGGGTTCTGGGAATCCTTTGGGGGTCACATGTCAGATATCCTGCATATCAGATATTTGTATTTCATAAGTGGCAAAGTGACAGTTGTGAAGTACCAATGAAAATATGGGACTGGAGAGATGGCTCAGAGGTTAAGAGCACTGGCTGCTTGCTCTTCCAGAGGTCCTGAGTTCAATTCCCAGCACCCACATGGTGGCTCACAGCCATCTATAATGGGATCTGGTGCCCTCTTCTGGCCTGCAGGCAGAACACTGTATACATAAATACATTCATAAAAAAATTAATGGTTGGGGGTTACCACAACAACCTTAGGAAGGTTGAGACCCCTGCACTAAATCATCTCACTGCCCCAGCTTCAGCTTTTTGTCTGATTGGTCTCAGGCTTCTCAGACTTTGTAGTCTTTTACTAGGATGGTTCACTGTTGGTTGTCATTGCACCTTTGTCACCTGGGACACTGCACCTTTTTGTCAATTCCTCTTTGTTTCTCAAGCATTTTCTTATGTGTTTAAACATTTGTTCCACTTTTTGGTTTTCTTTGGGGATTATAAATATGCAGGCATTGGTATTTTTTTTTTTCCTTTGACTTCCACAGCAGCATTTTTCCCTGCCCAGGCTTCTCTCACTTGTCCTCAGGTTTTCAGCCTCTGTTTTGTTTCCAGCATGGTCTTCAATTCTCTGATTTTTTTTCTTTTTATTATCTTCAGAGGTTTGTTGTTTTTAATCATGTGTATGTGTGAGTATGTGCGTGAGTGTGGGTGCCCCAACCCGGAGGTGTTGAACTTCCCCTGGAGCTGGAGGTACAGGTGGCTGTGAATCATACATGTGGCTGCCGGGAACTGAACTCCATTCTCTGGAAGAGTAGCACGGGAAGAATTCCAACTTCTAGCCAGCTCTCTGGTCCTTTCTTTTTAAATTCAGTTAGACCTGCTTCAGATGTTCCCCTGTGACCAGCAGTGAGCAAGCATCACATGTTGCAAGCAGCTACCACGTGGACTACAGCTTTAGGACAGCATTAGAGGCTTGCTGTCCTACCAACAATTTGTTTCCTTATTCTTCATGGTGCCACTGACCTCCAGGGATCTGAGGACACCTAAGGCTTTGCCCTCATTCGTAAGTCCCGTGACAGCAGAACATGTCATAGGTGAGGTGACTTTCATGTAGTAATGACTAAGGAGTCTCTAACTTTGGCTTCAGAGTTTGGGAATTCCCTGGCTCTAATCCCAGCCTCTCTGAGACGCCTTCAAATGATGGCATTTGTAGGCTTCTCAAAGGGACAGAATGTTCTCCTTAGGAGATCCCACTACACAACCTATTGGCGGGCGTGTTCTTCAGTCAAATAAATTGGCATGTTAGGGACCTGGCCAGTTGTCCTGCTCAATTCCATTTTCAGAAACACTGACTAGGTGGGATTTCTGAAAGCTGTGGAGTAGAGGGTTTAGAATCCTGCTGTCTTCCATGGCACTCACCTGGAACTGCTAAATACCCAGCTGGCCCTCAGCCAACACTGTCCTGAAAGAAACTACTTATAGCATAAGAGGAGCTAAGCTTAAAGAACGTCTCCGGAAAGACAAGAGGACCCATTTGTGTGAGAACAGCTGTGCAGAAGGGACTTCCTGCCACTACTCTGTCAGCAAATTGTCAATTTCTGCTGTGGTGCCACAGTGCCACCTCTTGGATGTAAGCTGTAAAATCTGAGTTTTTAAGTTCCTAATCACATATATTAAAACAATTTGAATCTGGGGTCATGGCAGGTTCTAAATATGCAAAATCTGCCTCACAGTTAGGGAACTTTTTAACCAAATCCTTGAAGACTTGAGATAGAGCACTGTGGTTCACAGCCTAGAGAGCCCTCTAAAATTCCCATCTTCAGCTATTTGGGGCCTTAAACACTTCAAAGGTCCCACTTGGGGTTCCTAGTTTTCTCTATCCTCTAGCCAAAGGAAGGCTGGGATGGTCCCCAGAAACCAGAAGCCCAAAGTCTGTTCCTGACTCCTGAGTAGAAAGAGTCCATTTTTCCTTTCCCAAGTTCTGCTAATGTGTGGTGGGAGAACTCAAGTTATTACAATAGTTTTGCTGGAGAGATTGTCTCTTCTGGCGGAAGCAAGGGGTGGCAGATGTAGGGCTACAGGTCAGCATCACCCTGACACTTGTCTTCGTTATCTCAGACCTCATTTATAGCTGTGTCAAGACCAGGGTCTCCAGGATAACACAGGACAAGAAAAGCAGTCTTAACAGGTCATTCCGTAGACTGTTAGTATTTGTTACTCAGAATTAATTGGGGGTGATGAGGCTAGAACCGTACTACCTGAAAAACGCTAACAGATGTTGGATCTTGTGTCCTTGTTTCTGGATCTACTTCAGTATTCTTGAGGTGAGATCCAACCCTGGGCCCAGCTGAAGAGAGCTGTCTAACCAGCCTCTGTGGCCAGTTCCTATCAGTGTGGACAGAAGCAGTCAGACTGCTGAAGACTACCATATTTGCAGAGGAAGCAGGACCCTCTCCATCTAGAATTCAGTCCCTGGATCAGTTCCCAATGGGGCCGCTATGATGTATCTTTTGTTTTGTTTACCTGTTTGGAGGTATGTAGAAAGTAAATTTTTCTCCATCTATTTCAGTCCCACTGGACCGGTTTTTCTCCCCCCACCAGGTCCTACAGCCACTTAAGAAATAATCACTCTGAGAATATCAGTTTCAATTGTTTAGCCAATGGCTTAGGCTTCTTACTGGCTAGCTCTCTCTTAATTATTAACCCATTCTTATTAATCTGTGTATTTCCACATGGAAAATACACAGATTTGTATTGGAAAAACCTTTTCTTTTTTAATTTTTTTTTTAATTTTACCGGAGAATGTCTGGGTATCTTACCTCCCCAGTGGCTACATGGTGTCTCTGACTCTGCCAATTACTTCTCTGCCCTTGTTCAGATTTTCTGCCTGGCTAAATTCTGCCTGTCCATTGGCTGAAACAGCTTTATTCATCAACCAGTAAGAGCAACACATATTTGTAGCATACAGAAGGACATTAACATCAGAGGCAGGATCTCATTGTTTAACCCAAGCATGACTAAAACAGCCCAGGTTGACCTTGAATTTTCAATTCTCCTGCCTCAGCCTCCCCAAAGTGGGATTATAGGTCTGTGCCAACACACTCGGATGTGATGCATCTTTTTTGTTAGAAAATATTGAGTCTGGCAGTAGCAATGCACACTTTTAATTCCAGCACTTGGGAGGCAAAGGCAGGCAGATCTCTGTGAGTTCTAGGACGCTAGAGAAATTCTACACAGAGAAATTGTCTCAAAAAAAAAAAAAAAAAAAAAAAAAAAAAGGAAAATTTTGCTCTGGGGACTGAGGTAGGTGAACTTTTAGCTAGCAGTTTAAGATAGTCTGGGCAACACAGGTAGGCCCCATGTCAGAGAAAAAAAAAAAAAAAAGTTTTTGTAGTAAAAACTGCTGCTTCCTACGCAGCTTCCACTGATTTGTTATTCCGGTCTCCACTTTACTGCTTGGTTCAGAGGGTGCTGCTGATCCTATCTCCGGCTCTGGGGTTGGTCTTAATGGGCCTCAAATCATTGGTTTAGCTACTTACTTATGGATTGTCATTTCTTGCCTTGGGGGTGGTTTAGACATTCCTGTGATCTGGCTTGGCTTGGGGTAGAAGGGGCTGAACTTCTGGAAAACACCTAGCTCTTCATAGCAGCCTCCTTTGCAGAGGGTTAGCATGCAGATGTGAAACCCTGAGCAGGCCTTCTGCCTCAGTGAAGGAAGTGGGCCTCAGCATACCACTGGCATCATGCAGAAAGGAAGTAGGGCCTTTGTGACATCACTGCTCCATGAAACCCTTAAACACCTCTACTTGGTGAGCATGCTAACACATTCCCTTGACACATGTTTCTGCTCCATGAGAAAGCTTCCTGTAGTTTAGCCAAGCGAAATGCCTGTGGTACCCAGTGGAACTGTGGGAAAGTCCTCCAGCCCATACCACACAAAACAAGTACTCAGAAGCAGTGTGGTAGAGGGTCTTGGAAGACAGGGCAGCTGGTTTAAACCAGTTCTGCTCTAAACAGCACTGGGCTTTGGATAAGCTTCCCAACTGCTTTTGTCCATGGCTCCTGAGAATGGATTTCTAGTTTTCATCAAGAATTTTTATAATTGGTATTCCTTGTGGATTTGGTTTTAATGATTATTTTATCAGTACATTTTTTCTCTTGTACATTTGCACTGGCAAAGTACACACTACAAATCAGCAAAGTAATTATATTAAATACTAAATGACTGTAACTTGGCTGGGTGCACTGTGCATGTCTGTGTATAATCCAGCATGTGTGTGGCTAGGGCTGCACACCAAAACCCTATCTCGAAGAACAAAACAACAACAATCGAGAGTACAGAGGTCAAATATACAAAATGTATTATCTTTTCAGGTACACACACACACACACACACACACACACACACACACACGTGTTATTGGGATATACATGTTATCTATATAGATCTAGATACACAGGCTCATGTATTGCAGGCTGACCTGAAACTCTATTATGTAAGGATCATCTTGAACATCTCACCCGCTGCCCTCACCTCCAGAGTGCTGGGATTACATGTGCACCACCATGCCCAGTTTGTGCAGTGCTGGGGATTGAACCCAAGGCTTTATGCATAGCAGGACGCACTAGCAACTGAGCTACAACCCAGCTCACAGATGTGATTTCTTACAATGGAAAGGACTTCCAGGGAATCTTTATTCTCTTATTTTTAATTTGTATGTGTCTGTCTGTCTGTCTGTCTGTCTGTGTGCACATATGAGTGTGGTTGCCCTCAGATCAGAGGCATTGGATACCTTGGAACGGGAGTTACAGGCAGGTGCACATATGAGTGTGGGTGCCCTCAGATCAGAGGCATTGGATACCTTGGAACGGGAGTTACAGGCAGTCATGAGGCATCACACGTTGGGTTGTTGGGAACTGTATTCAAGTCCTCTCCAAGAGCAGTAAGCATTCTTAACTGCCAGCCATCACTCCAGCCACTAATTTATTCTTTTAAGATCTTTGGAGAGTCCTAAGAACTTCTAGATTTGAAGATTTACAAGGTCTTCAAAAACAATTGACTGCGATTATTTACTTTTCCACAAAATGTTCCATATAATTTTTAAAAGATTTAAAAAACATTCTTGCATTTAAACAAACATCTTAAAATAGAAAGTAGGATTATAAAGCAGCCTGAAAGGTTTTTCACTTGTAAACTGAAGTAGAAAGCCCCAGAATCCCGAAACACCATGGCAATGTGAGGCTAAAGGTGCCCCTGGGAGGCAAGGGAGCCCGATTCTTGTCATCTTGTATGCTGTGATCTTCAACTGGTCCCCAACATCTGCAGATCAGAGGCACCATTGTGGACAGCAAAGGGTAAGGTCAGTTGTCCTGACTGGCTTGTCCAGCTGTTCCGCTGTGATGCCATGAAATTAGAGTAACATATTTCAGGCTGTTTTGCACTCAGGGGTTTTAAAGGTGTTTATTTAATGTGTATGTGTGTGCCTGGAATATAAATACATGAACCACATTCTGCAAGTGCCCTCAGAGATCAGAAAAGACTGTCAGGACACCCTGGAACTGGAGTTTCAGTGTTATCCCTCTGACGAGTGCTGGGAGCTGAGCCCAGGTCCCCTGGAAGAGCAGCAAGTGCTCTTAACTACCAAGGCATCTCTTCAGCTGCCACAGTGAGGGATTTTAGAGCCTGTATTTAATGTATAGATTTATATTTTCTGCTTCTATTTTAGACTTACATTTTCTACTTATTTATTTAGTCTTATTTTTATGTATGTATTCCTAAATTCGGACACTATTGAACCACTTCTGTGTTTTATTAAAACTCCTCAAGGACATACTTACCATTTCTTGCCTTTATTTTTTTTCAGCTTCCTTTTTCAGTTTCTCCAAGACCTCTTCTGGAGTTGTAGAGGCCAAGAGCTTCACCACCTTTTCCCGAGATTTACCACCCTGAATCAGAAAGGCACACTTAGCATCCTAATACTGCCAGGGGCAAAAGACCTCTGTCTTAGTGCGGCGTGTTATGGGGTGTTACAGATAGCCTCTCCCAATAGCCTAGTGTGGTAGTTTAAAAGAAAATGGCCCCCAAAGGGAGTGGCACTACTAGGAGGTACAGTCTTGTTGGAGGACGTTACAGTGGGGCAGGTTTTGAGGTCTCTCTTGTTCAAGCTTCACTCAATGTGACCCTCAGTCCACTTCCTGTCACCTTCTGATCAAGATGTAGCCAGTATCATGTCTCCCTGAACACTGCCATGCTCTCCACCATGATGATAATGAACTAAAACCTCTGAAACTTAAGCCACTACCTCAATTGTTTTCCTTTATAAGAGCTGCTGTGGTCATGGTGTCTCTTCATATCAATAGAAACCCTAAGACATCTAGGCACACTCTCCCCATGGCACTTCTACCTTACAATAAATTTGTATGACTCGACAAAGTTTTTGCCTTCCTATTCAATTTTTGTAATAAAAGTTTGGCATTAAAATTTCAAGATGAATGTTAACAATATTCTAACGTCTCTTTCTTTCTTTCTTTCTTTCTTTCTTTCTTTCCGAGACAGGGTTTCTCTGTAGTTTTGGAGCCTGTTCTGGAGCAGCCCTGTAGACCAGGCTGGCCTTGAACTTAAGAGATCCGCCTAACCCTAACCCTAACTGTTTCCTGAGTGCTGGAATTAAAGGTGTGTGCCACCACCACCCAGCTTTTCTTTTCCTTTCTTTAAGACAAGGTCTTATGTGGCCCAGATTAGCTCCAACTCAATATATAGACAAGGATGAACCTGAATCCCTGATCCTTTCTGTCTGCCTCAAGTGCTGGGGTTACAGGTATTTCCCAGCACTTGAGGTAATTTATTTGAATTACAAAAGAAAATAATTAAAAAATATTAAATACCACAATTCAGTATAAACTTTATAACACCTAAATATAAACAAATTGCTCTTTTCTAAATTGTTATACATTTCTGAAAATTTCAAACAAAAAGCAAGCACACACCTAAGTACTATGATTTCACAATCATCTAAAACAACTCTTAAAGAGATTTATTTGAAACATGCCTTTTATAAAACACAGAATTTCAGCAGGAATTTATCTAGATGGAGTATATGTGCACACTGTCAGACCCGGTAAAGGAAGTGGCTTGATCAGAGGGATTTTTAGGTGCAAATTATTAATCAATTACTAATCAAGTCATTGGCTTTAAATGGCACCCAGATATGAACCCTGGGGTGCATACAGCACTAGACCACATGTGGAGCTTTTAGACATGAACTTGGCCTGCTCTCTTGCACACGGATTCTATTTCAGCATGTCTGCAGAGATGCCACGGCCTGGTTTAAAAATCCCTCTCTGGTGATTCTGAAGTAAAGCCAAGGTATTGACTTCATATAAACTTGTCTTCACAACAGGAACCCTAGTGAGCAGAACCAGTGGGGGTGGGAAACGCATGGCAAACTCCTTAATGGAGATAACAAACAGGAACCACTTTACTGTATTCAGTATGGTGATGTCGGAGGAACTGGCAAAGACTAATCTGACAGTACAATTTAGGAAGCAGAAAAATGCTATAAATGAGCAAAATGAAGGATTGTAAGTAAAGCGTGGCCAGTCTCAATATGACGGAGGCAGTGTGGATAAAACAGACTATGAAGTAACAGATTTTTGTATTTAAATGAATATGAATTTTTTAAAACTGGCTTTACAAGACTGGAGAGATGGTTCAGTGGTTAAGAGCACTGGCTGCTCTTCCAGAGGACCCAGGTTTGATTCCCAATACCCACAGGGTGGCTCACAACCATCTGTAACTCCAGTCCTAGGATATGACTCACTCTTCTGGGCTGAGGGCACCCAGATATGCACATGGTGCACAGGCCTACATGCAGGCAAGACAGCTATACACATAGATCTGTTTTAAAACTGCCTTTACAAACATAGAAAATGAGAACTGTCATCAGCACATACTAATTTTAAAAGGAGAGACCCACCTTATCCAGAACCACATCACTCTTCCTGAGCTCTAAGACCTTGGAAAGATACCGACAGAGCTCCGCATTTGCTTCTCCCTCAGATGGAGGGGCCGCAATCGCCACACCGACAGCCTCAGTGGTCAGATCTAGAATGAAATGGCATGAACTTCATTCTTAAGGGGATCTCTCCCTCCATGGAGCGAGGAACCGTCAAACAGTTTGTACGCATGGGACAGGCTTTCAGTTAATAACTGCTGAACAGTCTTGCACACAAAGACTGAATTAAATGATTAAACTAATAGCCCAGGGGACACAGATAAATAGGCCTCTACAGTTAGGGAACACACACCAACAAAAGAGAAAACCCTACTAACTGGACAGGTCCAGAGTCCTAGAGAGCATCTTGGATGTAGGCAACTACAAATTGCCTTTGAACAGAAAGGCAGGGGGGCAGCCGGGAGCTGGCTCCACCAATGTCACTTAGGCCGTGCAGGCATGAAGATGCATATTAGACCATACAGGCTTCAGGGTCTCATATCAGGAAAAGCCACGCACTAGGTTCAGCAGGAAAAGTTATGCACTAGGCTAGGTTCCTCTCTTTTATGATATGTATCTTAAATGCCTCCAATATTCAATGCACTTAACATTTATCTAACAATTGCAATACTTTTAGGGTCATATAAGCTTTCCTAAAGCACGTCATCCTAACAATACCATTATCAGCCCCATTTTACAGGTGAGGCAAGTGGAACCAAGTAACGTGTCCTGTAGCACTTCACAGTTATTAGGAGAACAAAGTAGTTACTCAAAGCAGTTTGCAAATGAGCTTAGGCTGCTCCTGCATCCGGGGTCACTCAGCATGTCCACATACTTGTACCCTGAGTAACAACATGTCAATACATTCCACAAGAGCGGGATAGTGAAGTGGCTCTTGCATTACCTCTCAGATGCACAGTTTTTCATTTTAGCATCTTGGAAATCAAGCATGTCTTATAATAGATAGAAGAGTTTCACTGAGCTGAGTTTTAAAAAATAATGTACATAAATAGTCAAGTACCTTATAGTTGATTCCATCTTAGATTTGGCTTAGAAAATACTGGCCAAAGGGTTAGGCTTGGGGCACAAGCCTATAATCCTTGCACTTGAGAGGCTGAGGCAGAAGGTAAGTTTGAGCCCAGCACAGGCTACACAGCAATTCTTATCTGAAAAAAAGCAAGCAAGCAAGGGAGAAAGAAAGAAAAGAGAGAAAGAAAGGAAGGAAGGAAGGAAGGAAGGAAGGAAGGAAGGAAGGAAGGACAGAAAGAAAAGCTGGCCAAAATATGGGCAACAGATACAAGATAACATGGCCTTTAGCACAAGCCAGGCCTATCTAGCACTTGCATTTGATGTAGTATTTTCAAAATATAAAAATACGGTATGCAAAGCTTTATTTTGAAAACTGAGATTTTTAAGACAATTCAGCTCCAACTTTAATGTTGCTTAGGAATTAGGCAGGGTGTCGTCAGAGCTCAGGCTCTCTTCCATTTTTCAGGTTAATGATCATTACACTACACCAAAGTATCGCTCCTGTCAGTGTCTCTAATTTTCAGAACAAGAAAAATCAAGGGCAGTGTAGGCTATACATGTTTCCTTATGTGTGCCTCCCAAATGTGTTGTTGTTTAGGGATGGGGTCTTGTTTATATTCCAGACTGACCTCAAACTCAAGAGCCCCCTGCCTCAGTTCCTAAGTACTCATGAATTACTCGTACATGTAACCAGGCCATCTCCAAAGCACCACATCTTTAAAAAGGAAGAGATACAATGGTTTCCAACTTGGTATTAAATACTGCACATTTTGCTTCAAATATGAAAATATATGGTTTTAAAATAGAGAAGCCTCTAAATCACATATAAAAATACCACTCATAGTCACAGAATAGGCTGTCAGCTAACACGGTAGAGAGAAGGTGAAGAGACAGCCTGATTCACATACGAATCCCATCAATGCTCAAATGTACCTGTCACAGCATTCTGTTTGGAGCCCGGTTTGGCATGGATGGCAATGGTGACACAACCTTTAGGATCAGTTGTCACAGGCCCAGCAGGAGGAGGTGGTGTTTCAGGTTCCTTGGTTTGGTTTTTACCCTAAAATGACACACGCAATTTCACAGGTTACAAAATATTTCATCACACTTTTACTTACTTGCTACTACTCCTCGACTTCACTAACTGGGCTACTACCATCCAGCAACTGGCCTCAAGAAGCTTTCCCCACATCTGTCAAGGACCCAGCCAGCCTCCCATTAACCCAGTGTTTGTATTGCCTTGGAAGGCCTGACTCTGGCATCTGCAACTTTATGCTGCTTTCCTCACAAGTAGAGATTATTTATTACTTACTTATTTGGTGTAGCCTAAAGCTGGAAGTATGCGAGACGTGAGAGCGTGCCTGCGTGCGTGCGTGCGTGCATGAGTACGTGTGTGAGTGCAAGTGTGTGTGTGTACACGTGTCCTGTTCAGATCTCATTCTGGCTACCTTAGAACTTGTTCCTTTAGTCTGCTTTATAGTTCCTATTCCTCAAGAATAGAACCATTTATCAGCCATCTTTACACCAATGCATACTAAACCTCGGAGTCGGTGAGAGGGTGAGGAGTGGGTTGCAGAAAGAACAATAATGACTGGCACTTAGCATTTATGCCATGCTAAGAACTTTTTACTCATAAATTCCAGGGCAGTCTGCAGACAATGGATATAAAGAGATACTCCCATACCTTAAGGACTTGGGATCACAACTCGAGAAAACCTTAATAAAGTACATAACTGTGTTAAGTGCACCAATGAAGTACACATACACAGTACATTTATTTCTGCATGGATAAAGGCAGCCAGGGCTGGGGAGCTGGGGAAGGTGCCAGTAGGTGGCGGTGCCTGAGCTGGGTCATTGAAAGGAGTTGGAGAAGGAAGATGTCAGGGGAGGGAGTGCTGTCTCCTTGACTAGAGGAAGTGAAACCCTCGAAGTACGGGAGCGAGGCAGGTGTGCAGTGGAGCCTAGGCCTGGTGGTCCTCAGGCGGGATAATGTGCGGCCCAGGAAGCCTCAGACCTGGACCCGGTCTTCCACCCTCCAGGCGCTGCTTCCGTTCCCTGCTGGTGTAGCCTCGTGGCCTACCCTCTCCACACCATGGGACTTGCCACTGGCCTTGCTCATCGTCCCGGCTTTCTTAGGCATCGTGGAACTAGACAGGAATCTAGCAGGGGCCGAACCGCTGCGACCAACCACGAGCTGCAGCATCCCAAGCCCGCAGCCGCCGAAGAGGGCCACCGCACAGCGGAAGAGTCCTGTGCGCCTGCGCACATCGCGGACTGAAGCCGCATCCGCGTCCTGTCCGCATCTGAGAGCGCCACCTTGCGTCTGGATGGCGCGGGTTTCGTTCTTTTGGAACCTGACTGCCTGGGGTGTCACCTGGCGAGCTGTCTTTGTGAGTGTTGGCAAAGCTGTCACTTGTCCTTAGGAGTGAAGGGCAAGGACAGCCTCGTCGTTCACCTGCCCCACGTGGCATCGTGGTCATTCTCACAGCGCAGTGCGAAAGAATAGGAGATACACTGCTAAATAAAATACAACCACTCGTGAGAGTGGAGCAGAGGCAAGGCAATGCGAGTGCTTAACTTAGGGACTGGCCTTCTCTATATGCCCAGAGGGTAGGAAGATATCTGCCACCTAAATGGGAGATGGCTTGTAACCATTTGAGGCTCTTTGAGTCCTGAATGGTCGTCAGAGGCGGAGGAAAGATCACACGTAGCAATTAAGACTGAAGATGCCCAAGTCTGGGGCTAGTGAACAGGTTTGGCAGTTTGAGGTGAGTTTTTATTGTACAGTAAGTTTGAAATGAGAGGAGAAATCCAAGTGGAATAGTTACGCAGCTACCTGAATGCCTAATTGAAGCATCAGAGACCTGTGCGGGTGGTAGAGAACTGAAGACAGCAAAAAGGAAATGGATCGTCAGAGGCATTCCCAATGTGCAGAGCGGTCATGCAGGTCCAGCACAGAGCAACAAAGGGACAAGGAGACAAGTCACGACTAAACACCAGCCAAAGGTAGTACAGTGTAATTGCAACTAATGGAGATTGCTTCAAAGGGGAGTGGTCAGTTGACAGTTGCCACAAAAACAGTGAAATGTCTAGGTGTTCACAGGTCTAGAAAATTAGTGGTATCAGTGACCCAGATAAGGGCATTTTTAATGGATAAATAGAAGTGTGTAGATAATATTTCGCACTTTTCTGTGAAGTGACAGGAATCTGGAAGGACTTGAGATACTCAGGGACTTTATTTTTTGAACCAGATAACTGAATTTGAAAGCATAGGAATGAGCTAGAAGAGGGTTCAGAAGCAGGAACCAGAGTTTCACTAGCCAGGGGGTGGGTGGGGATATGCTGAAGGAAAGGACTAAAGAATACGGAGTTTGGAAAATGGCAGAGCTGTCTATGTAAACTCACCTAGTGGCATTGACAATCTGATTCAGGTTGGAGTCATAGGAAATCAAAATCCCAATCTCCACTTACATCATTTTATTTTTAATGCTGAATACATGTTCTGCCACTGAGCTGCACCCCAAATTACAGGATTCTGAATGACTGGTCTCAGCAGCTAGGGAGCCAACCAGTAATCCAGGCAATCACAGTGACCTGAGTGTATACAAGAAGACTGCGGGTCACTGAAGTGGTTAAAAACCAATGTCTAGCTGAATAGGGAAGGAAGTCAAGAGGGTTGACAAGGCAGAGATGTCAAGGGGCTACATGGTTCAGAGCCAGTAACAGGTGGGATTGAACGTGAGTGCTGAAAACAGCCATTAAAGGTTGTGATCAGAATGGGGCATCTCAATTTACTCTCCCGGAGACACCAGTTATGACAAGGTTATGTGATGTAGTCATGAGGAGAAAGTGGCTGAAAAACTAGGGACACTGAAGCCAGTCTTAAGGCTCAGGCAGGTATCCACATGTTAAACCACACACCTATTTCTTTTTAAATAAATTACAATTGAAGCACAAAGTGAAACCAAAATTATACTGTAGTGATTTGTTGAATTTTTAGGTGAAATCATGAGTCCCTCTAGAGACTTGACAGGTGTTTTTTCTTTTTTGTTTTTGTTTTTTAGGGAGGGGACACATGTTGGTGAAAGGAGAGGGAGGAAGTGTCCTGTAAGGAAGCAGGGTACCTCCAGAGTATAAGGACTTCATCACACCAGCCAGAAAGAACAAGAGCCCTCAGCTCCATCTGCTGTGATCCGGAGGGTGAAATCTATTGTAAATCTTAGATTCCATTTTAAATTTTAAAATTTGGTTTTAAAAACCTTACTCCAGCTTAAGAGTTAAAGTACACAGCAAAAGTAAATGTCTTGGTCACTCTGGGGCTGCTGTGGTTCCCTCTTATTAATATGTATTTTGTTCAATTTGGCCACAGTTCACATTTGAGGAAAACACTAACTAGCAAGGGAAGAGGGGCAATGAGTGTTGAACATTGTGTATTTCATGTACCACATTTGGTGGCCACACTCTTTTGTCCTATATTTTTATTCCAGTTTTTTCGTTTGAAAGTATATCTACCTAAAACTTTATGTGGACCTACAATACAATTTTGAAAGTACAATTACACCTTAATTTGTTCAGTAGATAATAGGATAGCAATGCTTTTGTAGGAATACTTTTAAATGTATTGATATTCTACAGTAGATAGAAGTTAGTCAAATTTATTTTTTTCTCTTTTTTTTTTTGGTGTACCTAAAACACAATGCTTGAAAGTACAAATGTTACATCTTAATTTGTTGGATATTAGAATAGAAATACTTTTGTAGGAATACTTTCAAATGTATTGATATTCTACAGTAGGTACATTAGTCAAGTTTATTTTAACTATTTTAGTGGTTGTTGTTGAGACAGGATCTGTGTAGTCCTGGAACTCACTCTGTAGAACAAGCTGACTGAGCCACCTTTCTCTGGCTCCAAGTATTGGGATTAAAGGTGTGCATCACAACCGCCAGCTCTTTTGGTAACTCAACCAAGTATTTTCAATAGCTTGGAGCATAAAGACTTCAAATTGTACGCAGTACCACTTAGTAGCCTTTCTAAATGTTAACTTTTTTTGTCTGGACACTGTAATACCAACACATGTTTATGCAAAGCAGTCAGTGCAAAGGCCTGTACACAGTAATCATCAGGCTGCAATGGCTGGCATTTTGGTACTAGAGATGGAACTCAATCAAGCCAGGTGTCTTGCTCAATATTCTATTGCTATGAAGACACCATGACCATGGGGACTCATGAAGGAAAACATCTAATTGGGGTTGGTGTACAGTTCAAAGGTGTAATCCATTATTGTCCTGGCAGGAAGAGTGATAGCACACAAGTATAGTGTTGAAGAGGTAGCTGGGAGAGTTCTACATCTGGATCAGCAGGCAGGAGAAAGACTGTGTCAATAAAGTTAACCTTGAATCAAGGTGAGAGCCAGTGAATAGCTGACCAGAGTTAGCCACACAGAACCCAGGCAATTTGGAAAAAGAAGAAAAGGCCAGGACTATAGTTTGGTTCAGGGCCTTTTGATTTTGGAATGAGTGAAGAGAAATGTCTCTTGCTGGATCTCTGGCCTTTAAAAAGCAAAGCTGGTTGCTTCTCAGCTTCTCTGATCTAGCAGGTTTTCACCCCTCATCTGACTTCCAAGTCACTGTTGGTAAATAGAACAACTTAGTTTAAACCTACATATTGTGACCATGGAAGAGCCTGGGCCATGGGAATGGAAGACCCTCTAGGCCTTGGCCTGATTGGCCAGAGGGGCCAGAGACTGTGGGGCCACAGACTACAATTAAAGTATCAGTAGATTCGTGTGCAGCCACTAAGCCGACAGAAAATTATCATGGGGGCCATTTTCATTCAAACCACATTAGGCAACTGCTATACCTCTGAACTGTCCCCTGCCCCACTCTGTAAGTATTGATTAAAATTAGAAGTGCATAAGAACTAAACTTTAACTAGAACCTTTGTTCCAAAGTACTCTAATATTCAACTTTTAGAAAAAAAAAAGCAGATGACAAAAAATAAACAAAAAGGATAAATTTATTTTAAAGATTCCAGGTGATGCCCCAATGTCAGTGAGTGGTTCCGTTTCTTGTACCTTCCAGTGACTACATTCCATTACAGTTGCTCAGCAAAAAGCAAGGCATATGGATGGCCCAAAGTCAAAAGCACTAACTTACCTCTGGCATGCAATACTTGTTAAGGAAGAAATACCTCCCCTAATGGTTACTACAGTCTTTGCTGAACTTCGGTTTAGCAGAATACACATCAGTGGGCATTCCAGCTAACTGAGGCTGACAACATAAGATCATGGTACCAGAGTAAACAAAAAACAATTTCCTTTCTTCAGCAACTTCAAGAGACCCTGGCCACCAACACTTCACCTCTCTTGCCCTCTTGAAAATACAATTACTTTTGATGAAATCCTTTATATCCTATTTAGAAAAAAATTCTTAAGTTGATACTTTGAAGAATTTTTAACGATTTTCCACAACTATCTGATAGACTGATACCCCTTAAGTTTAATTTATACAGGTTTATTTTTTTTATAAGACTATCATTTTCAAGGGGAAAATGTTATCTCACTTGTATTTTAAAATCAGCTTTATATAAAAATGTAGAATCATCACGCTGCCAGATATCCTTCCGAGCGACTCTTATTATAGATGTGCCAGTCACATTAACAAGGTCACAAATATCAAGCATTTTGCTTCTTGGATAGAACTGTGTCGGTGACAAAAAAAAGCCTCCTTCCTTTTAAACAGGAGTGACTAGTTGAACAACTTTACAGCTACAAAGCAGCTGTTAGGAACTTAGTATTTTATTCCCTTTCTTGCTGTGTAAGGTTACTGCAATGCTACAGTGGTATCTGTCGGCACCTCCATCGTATCTCAACCATCTAGGAATTACTGGCAGCACCCATGACAGGCACAGTGGGATGGGAGTGATAAAGAATCCATCTCAGATCATCCCTGTAGATCTATTTATATCAATTATTGTGAATTTATACAAACTCCACTTACAGCTTTAAAACAGTACTATGCAATACACTACTATACTATTACAAAATACCTTTTTCTGTAAATGAACTGAAATTTTTCTTGGGTGCTTTTTTAGGCATACTTTAAGCATTATTCCAAATGCTAACAACCATATATTTCAAAATTCCAAATACAAAGTTAGTTTTCTTAATTTTCTGAAATTAGTTATTTGAGTTAAAAAGAGTTCTGTAGGAATACTGACCCATTTCACCTATCTTTCAAAGTAGTAGAAACAAAAGTTTTTTAAAAAAGCGC